ATAAAAAATTAAAAATATTATCTATAAAATAATATCTAAGATAAAAATAATAAATATATTAAAAATAATTATTTAACTCACCTTTATATAATAAAATATATTTTAGAAATAACTATTAAAAAAAAAATATATATATATTATATATATTATCGCTTCCCGAGCGCTTCCAACCTTAAGAAACTTCTATCAGCTCACACTTCCCCACTCCCGCTCCTGCCCCCGCTCCCGCTTCGTGCAACTAAGTTTCAAACCTTCACACCTACTGAACAAACTCCATTATAAGTTTATTTACATGAAACTTATTCAACCACATTAAAAATATATATTAAAATGTCAAACTCAACCACAAAGCAAATCAGAAACTTGAACAGACGACCATTCAAAAACATAGTAAAAATGTTTTCTATTGCAATATCTCCTTACAAATCTAATCTAAAAGACTATACTATTATTGCTATAGACTATTTATTGAAGAAGAACTACATTATTTTCATACTTCTATTACAAAATCAATAATGTCTTTCATGGCAATGTCTCCTTGCAAGTCTTCCTATTATGACCGTACTTCTCACATTTATCACACTGTACTCGTCTTATCTTCTTATCGCTAAATGGAATCCTATTCTTCCTCGGCCTACCAGATGGCTTCTTACAAATTGGAGGAAGGACAACAAGATCATCCATAGCTACAAGAGGTTTCTCAACAGTGGGTATTGGATAAATGGACTCAACATAGCAAGCTTTGAACTTGCTAGTGTAATAAAATGGTTTCACATGTGCATACAAATCACCTCCGCTCTTTTGGATAACGGTTGCCGCGTGAACACAAAGAAATCCATTCAATTGCCATTGGTAACATTAGCAAGTTCTATTCAAGAGGTCAACACTAACCGATGGCCGGGATTGAACCTCAAAAACATGATCACTTGAACTACTAACCAACTAAGTTCTTTCACTTTTAAGAGCATTTACTAATGTTGAATCCATCTCCGGAAAGAAAAGTATTCCATTTCTTAGCTTGTTCTCTCCTCCTCGACATCAAATCTATGATCTTCAATCTAATTGAATCAATCATCTTCATAGTGGGCAAATGACGAGCTTGACGAATCCATGAATTGAAAGACCCTGTCACATTCAAGTGCATTTCACCGTATTTTTGTCTATTAAAATATGCATTAGTCCACTTGTCATAGGGCAAATTGGATAGAAACCTACAAATGATCCATTTTCCCTCATCTTGTTATTCTTTCAATCATTGATTAAAACATCCCACTGTCAGAGCATAAACACATGAAGAAAACAAAAAAAACTATTCTACTCTTGAAAGTATTGCTGAAACTTGGACCAGTGAACCTATCCCTCAAATTGGCCTTCAAGTGTTGGAGATAAAAATAGTGGTAAGCAGTAGGTAAAACCTTGGGTAAAGCCTCCAAAAGTCTGGCGTTCCGATCAAATATGAAGGTAATTGGTCTTTCATCCAACAATATATTCGACAAATGCATAAAAAAACCATTTCCAACTGTCTGTAGTCTCCATATTGACAATTGCCATTGCAAGAGGGAAAAAACCTGAAAAATAACATTTTACAATTAGTAAGTATATTAAACGAAAAGGACAAATATAGTAGATTTTTACTCTGAATAACAGTAACTTGTTACTCTGAAAATAAGTAACATGTTACTCTGAGAATAAGTAACTTGTTGCGTTACTCTGAAAATAAGTAACATGTTACTCTGAGAATAAGTAACTTGTTGCTTTTGAATAAACTATAGTAATATCTACTTTGATCCCCATCCTTCGCTGTAGCTGTTAACAAGGTGCCCTTATATTTCCCCTTCAGAAAAGTTCTATCGATAAACAATAGCGGATGGCAATGCCTAAACCCTTGAATGGAAGCATTAAATGCAACAAAAAATCTCTTGAACCATCCACTTTGATGGTTATAGTCAAGACGCAAATAGCTATCAAGATTTGTGCTCATCACAATATCCATATACCATCGAATCTCATCATAAGACATAGAGAAATCCCCAAAAGTAGTAGTCCTAGCTTTCTCAACTCCCAACCAAGCGTAATTGTACGTAATGGTGAGCCCGTATTGATTTGTAAATTGACGCACAACATCAATTGGACAAGTTCGGGGATTCCCACGAACTTCATTAATAATTAAACTTGTAACCAAATTTGAACTCATCCTTGAGTTTTTAGAAGTACGAACTGCAGCTCTACAAGTATGTTCATCATGTAGAGTCCTAATGTAGAAAAAATTATTAGCACCTTTTAGAGTTGCATGTACTCGCCATAAACAAGCTTTAGACTCCCGCATTGAACACACAGCAGTGACCCAACACTTCTCATTCTTCACATACACAAACTCAAATCCTATCTCAATGGCATATTTACATAATGCAGTCCGGAAATCCGTTGCACCTTCAATAAATCTTTGACATACATGAGTAATTTCATTCACCCATCCACAAGACAACAAAGCCCTTTCTTCATGTTGACAAAACATATGGAGTAAATCCATTTCATCATCAGTAATGTTGGATCCACTAGCATCTCCTGATTCTCTAACTCCATGGGTGTGTTTGGTTTGTGTTTGGAGAGTAATTTTTGAGATAAAAAGTACAAAAACTTGTTTGGTTTGCCTTTTTTTAGAAATGGTTTTGGAAAATTATTTTGGGGAGAGAGTTTTAAAAAAAAAGTGATTGATTTGATGTGTATGAGAGAGAGTGATTTTGAAAAGTAGGTAACCAAACAAAATTTTGAGATTTTTTTGAAAAAATTTGTTTGATTTGATTACTCTTGAAAATTTGTTTGTAAAGAATTTTTCCCAAAATTTTTTTTGAAAAACAAACCAAACAAGGCCCATGTTTTTCATTTGAAATGCTCATTTCAGTAATAGTCACATCAACCCGGTCAACACCAAGGGATAAACAAGCGACAACATATTCTAAAAATCAGAATCATCATCAATCATGCATTGTGAATGTCCAGGTAAACGGTACGACAACAATATGCAACTATTACTGTCAAACTTCTTCAATTTATAACTTAAGAAATTAGTTAAATCCTTCAACGTGCAGTTTGATACAACCTTGAACACAATGGTACGATCACCATACTTGCATAACAACATAAGAGGTGGAACCATTTTACAAATCTATAATCAATTAACAGTAAAAATTTACTGTCAATCAATGTAAAATTTTACTGTCACTATCAAAGTAAAATTTTACTATCACTACAAGTCCAAAAGTCAAGATTATTTTGATCTAATACCCATTCCTCATATGGTCATCTCTGTCAAAGCTTTCCTAATACAAATTATTTTTAGACATTCCAGTTTGGCTTCTTTGAACATCTTAGAATATAACTTCTTTGGGACTAATGGACGAGTCTTTATGAAGTTCTCTAGGTTTAAAAATAGTTCATGCCCACCCAATTCCAACACAAACCGTGATCATGAATTATTAATAACTTGTGTATAGATTATAGATATACATATATATGAACCTACACAAACACAGAAATGGTATTCTTTACAGACAATGAACTTGTTTGGTGCAATTTTTTGCGAGTTAAAAATTGATAACTAAAACGCATAAGCTAAAAGAACATATCTCCCCTATCTTCTCAATAATCAAAATTTTTGCTTATCTAAGCTATTTTTACCTAGGCAAAAGTTGCAACAAACATGATCAATGTCAGCAGAGACAGTGTTTGTGGCGGCTGAAGTGTTTGCCAATGACCACCTCTTGACAGTAAAATTTTACTGTCATTCTAAAACTAGAGTAAAATTTTACTCTCATTCTAAACAGAGCACATACCAGAGTAAAATTTTACTCTAATTCTCTCAAGCAAAAAACATAACAATAGAACCAGAGTAAAATTTTACTCTAATTCTCTCAAACAAAAAATAGAGTAATAGAACCAGAGTAAAATTTTACTCTGATTCTGTCAAATAAAATCAGATCAAACACAACAAAAATAAATCAAACAAAAAAAAATTAATCAACAAATCAACATACCTAGTTGAGAAGAAAAACATCTAAAACTCGATCAACACTCACAAATCTCAATGAAACTCTCGTTTAATTGAGAGTGTTCGTCGGCGGCGAGATCATCTATTGTTGACCAAGAGAGAAATCTTCGGCTGCGAGATCTTCATATTTGGAGATTGTCTTCATTGATTTCATTCCTAATTTCGCAAATTATAACAGATCGTATACAACTCAGATTTCAAATATATGATACATATATATAGAAGGGCAATATTGTCATTAAAAAAATAGAAATTATAAAATGTCCTTATTAAGGTAGACATTTCCTACTCAAGGACTTTTTGAAAGAAAATTGATTGAGTTATCCTTTACCCTAATAAAAAGGCCCAAAAGGGAGGTTTCACCAAAAATCCCATTTCACAATTTACAAAGCTTTTTTGGGGGCGATTTGTAAATAAGTCAAAATAGAGCAATATCTGCCTTAATTCGATTCGAACAAAATAGAAAAGGAGAATAGAAGAGAAAGGGAGAGAGAGAGAGACTTGGTTGCTCGTCGTTCGTCTTCGCTCCTCGTCGGTCGTCGCTTCTCATCGGTTGTCGCTCATCGTCGTCGTCACTCATGTCTTGTCGTCGCTTGTTAAGGTACACGCTGCTCTTCTTCATTCTTATTCTTCTTCTTCGTTCTTTTTTTTCTTCGATCTTCCCTCTCTCAATCGCTCTCTCTCTCTCTCTCTCACCCTCTCTGTCTGATTTTATTTTTTCTTTTCTTTTATTTAGTGAGTTATTTTTTCTTTTATATAATGAGTGATCCCTCTCTCTATCTGCGAGTGATCCGTCCCTCTCTCTCTGTCTTCTATTTTTTTTTTTTCTTTTTTCTCTCAGCTGTGCCTCTATTATTTGAGTATATGATTTTTTTTTTGGATTAGTTTTGTTAATTTTAATAATGTATGTTTATTAATTTTATTATAGGAACCAATATTTAATTCTGAAACAATGGCTATGGGTGGTAGTTCTAATGATATACCTGATGATGATTTTGATGAGAACAAACCATTGTGGAAGTATATAACTAAATTAGCAAAACCTAGGGAAGGAAGAGGAAATTGCCAATTACAATGTAATTTTTGTAATAATACTTTCAAAGGTTCATATACAAGAGTAAGTGCACACTTGTTAAAACTCCCAAGAAAGGGAATTGGTGCTTGTAAGAAAGTGACAAGTCAAAAACTTTCACAATTGCAAAATGAGAATGATGCTGCTAAACTGAGAATTAAAAATACTCATCCCAAAAATGTACCATTGCCTTCTTCTAGTGTATCAGTGGGTAGTAGTAATGCTTATGAATCAAAGAAGAGGAGAACATGTGGGAGTGGGAGTGTTATTGAGAAAGTATTCAACATGAAGGATAGAGAGCAATTGCATTTTGAAATTGCTAGGATGTTCTACGCAGGGGAGAGGGGGTACCATTTAATCTTGTAAGAAACCCTTACTATGTTAGCTCTTACACATTTGCTGCAAATCATAATATTCCCGGATATTTGCCTCCCGATTATAATTTGTTACGAACCAAATTACTTCAAAAGGAGAGGGCAAATATTGATAGATTGTTGCAACCAATTAGGGGCACATGGAAGGAAAAAAAGGTGAGCATTGTTAGTGATAGTTGGAGTGATTCTCAAAGAAGGCCTTTGATTAATTTTATGGCAGTGAGTAAAAATGGGCCTATGTTCATTAAAGCAGTTGATTGTTCTGGAGAAACTAAAGACAAATATTTCACTGCAAATTTGATGAAAGAAGTAATTAATGAGGTTGGGGCAAGTAATGTGGTTCAAGTCATCACGGATAATGCTCCTAATTGTAAGGTAGCCGGATAACTCATTGAAGCTCAATTCCTTCATATTCTATGGACTCCTTGTGTGGTGCGCACATTAAATCTAGCTTTGAAAAATATTTATACCGCAAAGAATGTTGAGAGGAATGAAGTCACATATGAAGAATGTAGTTGGATTAGTGACATTATCGAAGATGGTTCGATAATTAAGAATTTTATCTCTAATCACTCAATGCGATTGGCTATATACAATGAATTTGTGTCATTGAAGTTGCTTTCGGTTGCCGAAACACGATTTGCTTCCACAATTGTTATGCTCAAGAGGTTAAAGCTTATAAAACGTGGTCTTCAAGCAATGGTAATTAGTGACAAGTGGAATTGTTATAGAGAGGATGATGTTGGGAAGGCAAAATTTGTAAAAGAAAAGATTTTGGATGATGTGTGGTGGGACTACGTTGATTATATTCTTTCCTTCACGGGGCCTATATATGACATACTTAGGGCTTGTGATATGGACAAACATTGCCTTCACTTCGTATATGATATGTGGGACACAATGATAAAGTGAAGATGACAATATATAGGCATGAAGGGAAAAGAATAGATGAGGAATCTACATTTTACAATGTGCTGCATCAAATTCTTGTGGATCGTTGGAATAAAAATAATACTCCTCTCCATTGTATGGCACATTCATTGAATCCAAAGTAAGTACCACATTTAAATTTGTTTTAGATATTTCATTTTAATGGACTTATCTAATCTTTCTTGAAATAATTATTTTTTCCTATTTTGGATTGTAGGTATTATATTGATGAGTGGCTCCATGAGGATCAAAATAGAGTTCCTTCACATAGGGATGAAGAGGTGACACGTGAGAGGAACAAGTGTTTTCAGAGGTATTTTGAAGATATCACGGAGCGAACCAAGGTGATAACCGAGTTTGGAAAATTTTCGGGTTATGTTGAAGCATTCTCAGAGTATGATTCCATTCATAATAAGTGGCACATGGATCCTTATACTTGGCGGTGTGCATATGGTGCATATGCACCATCTCTTCAAAAACTAGATTACTTGTGCAACCCCCCTCTTCATCTTATTGTGAGAGAAATTGGAGTACTTACTCCTTTATTCACTCAATGAGAATGAACAAAATGGTCCCTCAACGCGCAGAGGACTTGGTGTTCATTCATAGCAATCTTCTTCGTCTTTTATCAAGAAGGAGCTCTCAATACTTGCAAGGAGAGACAAAAAATGTGAGACATTGCCGAAGATAACTTTGACTCACTTAATGATATTGGAATGCTTGGGGATAGCTAACCTCTCATTTGATGAACTGGCTATGGAGGCGGTCCTATTTACAGATGAAGGTGAAGATGGAGGCGGTGGTGAAGATGTAATAGTTTTCTCTACTTAGGTTTACATTTTCTGATATTTATGGATTTTGTAATAGATGATAGTTGTTGGTACATTAGATAATTTTATATTTTGTGATTTAATTTTCATGCATTTTGTAACAAATGATGGTTGGTAGTTTCGAATGACATATTATGTATTGATGGAATGCAATTTTGTGTTATTTGTGAATGATATATATGATGTTAAATCAATTAAATGTTTATTTTTTATAATTTAATAGTGTTATTTTGTATATTTTATTACCTTTTAATGATTTTTTTTATAATTTTATGACATATAATAAATAAAATTAATTATATATATTGAGCGTGTCCCCAGCGTGACGTATCCCCCATTTTTTGAAAATTTGCGTGTTTGCATGTCCGTGTCGTGTCCATGTCCGTGTCCGTGCTTCATAGAATAATGCCAATTAGCTAACTTAAGCCTAGCTTAATTAAGCCCACTAAACTAAGCCTATATAAGGCTTCTTGATTACAACACTCTCATTTTTGTCATCTTTAGAGAGCAAAACGTAAGAGAGAGGGTGAGACCAAGAAACCACATCAAAGTTTGAGAATTAGAGGAGAAAGTGAAGGAATTTGCTAGAGAATTAAGGGGAATTAGAGGAATTGAGCAAGAACTCACTAGGATTCAAAGAATTGAGAACCTTAGGTAAGAAATTCAATCTTTAAGCTTTGTGTTTGACTCACTCATGCTTGAATTCAAGAGAAGTTAGAGATTAAGAACAAGAATTGAGCTTAAGAACAAGAATTGAGATCAATCCATGCATTGCATGCATAATTCATGATTTTGAGTCCTATTTTCATAAATTCTTACATGTAAGTGCCTACCTTTGCTATGTCTTCAGAGCTCACCATGATTTTACATGAAAACACTTCATCTATTCATGTTTTGGAAGCTTTGTATCCAAGTCATTGCATGCATGTTATGTTTTCAAATGTTTAAGGTTTACTTTGGAAGAATTCACTTGCTTTTGTGTTTAATTTTGCGAAATGACTTTCAAATCAAGAAGTACCATGAGTTTACAAGTGTTTTCTCAAGTTTTGGTCCAAAAAGATATGCTTTTGTAGCTTTGAATTCAAGTTTTGAAATTTGGAAGCAAATCTGGAAATTCCAGAATTTGCAGCACCGCTCGAGTGACAAATTATGTGCTCGAGCAACCACTCATGATTTTGCACTTTCGCTCGAGCGATCAAAAGTTGGCTCAAACGTAAAATTCATGCTCCTAGAAGTTTACAAATTTTGCAGACCGCTCGAGCGACCAGAGTTGAGCTCGAGCGGAGACCCCAATCTTACGCTCGAGCGACCGTCGAGCGAAGAAATCATGCAACCAGTACTATTGTAGAGTTTACAGACCGCTCGAACGACCGAAGTTGCGCTCGAGCAATCACTCTTATTTTTGAACCTCCGTTAGAGCGAAGAAAATTGCGCTCAAGCGAAGACCCTATTTTCAGCAAATTTGACTTTTGAATCACATTTTAGCATCCTCATTGCATCTTAAGCCTTCTTAAGCCCTAATTAAGACATAATAATGAGGATAAGACTTAGAAACACACCCAAACAAGAAAGAAATGAATTAAATGAATTCCAAGCGTGTGTTTCAATGTGTATCCGTTCTGTGTTTGTGTAAGTCACGCGTCGTAGGCTATCCGATTATCTGTTCTATTCTGTCTGTCTACTATTAGAAGCCAACTGTGAGTAATAACTTCGTAAAACTATATTCAATTTATAAGTATTTTCTGAATGATATAAGATGAGCTGTTTTCTGAAATATTATTTTCTGTATGAATGAATGGTTGTCCAATGTTTTTGAAATGTACTCGTGGCATCCTTAGCTTCAGATGACATATGTTATATGTTCTGTTGTGTCCCAATTATGGGCTAACTGTACGTCTCATGAGCCAACAGTTATGGATCCTTCTGTATACATCACATTTATGGGACAACTGTATGTCTCATGAGCTAACTGTACCGTCTTCGTGCATGTGAGTCAACTATACGCCTTTATGGCCGTCCCTTTATGGGTCAACTGTTTCTGCTAGCACTAATGGATGTACCACGTAAGATTAACTGTAAATTCTTATAATGATTCTGATTCTGATTTCGTTTCTATTATAAATACTGAATCTGTTTCTGTACCTGTTATGGATAACATTCATTACAACCCTTTACTCTGTTATTATTCACTGAGCTCTCACTCACTGCATTATTTATGTATGTCGGGAATCAGGTGCGTAACCAGGCTTAGTGATGATCGCCTGGTGTTCTATTTTGTCAGCCAGCCTTTGTGCCTCCCGAGGAGGTTCCGGAAAAAGTCAAGTGGTCATGTTTTGTGAACTATGTTTAAGATCTTGTTTTCTTTTTGTGTATCTCGAACAAGTTTCTGTTTACATGCATATTGGGCTAAGCCCCACTTTTGCTTTATCTGTATAAGTTGGTGACGTAAAACTACTGTAATTATGACGTCACATATATGTATATAAAGTTTTAAATTATATGTCCTATGTATGTCTGCACAGCTTAATAGACTATGTATGTTTTATATATCTACTTCCGCTAGCTCCTTAATTATATGTTATTCTGTACCGAGGCCTTTGGTAAGCAAAGGATTACTGGCCAGTTACGACACTAAACCTATAGGAGCGGGTTTGGATCATGACAGAAAAGGTTGTCTTAATGCAAGGCTAAAGCAATTGACTTGAATAGAGAGTTAAATCAAATTATATAATAATCTTTGTCTCTCTCTCAAGCAAGTTCAAAAGGAGCTAATGACGTAGATTCGTGTGCTCAATCCAAAATAATGAAGATAAAGTCTTGTTGGATTGACTTGAATAGAGAGTTAAATCAATTTTAATTTAATAGAAAGAGGGAAGCCATTGGGAACAATGGATGTATCTGGTTTATCAAGTGCCAACTACTGACTGAAATTACAATAGAAGTGAGCAAAGAGTGCAAGCGCATCTACAAACACATGCAAGATGCAATTCCAGTTTTTTTTTTTTTTTAAAAAAAGTACAGGAGTATATCTAGAAAAAAGCAAGCTAAAGTTCGATACATTCCATCCCAAGTTACTAAATCAGAATTGCCAACATGCTTCTATCCATTCTCAAAAAGATCTAATGAAAGAAAAATTACCAGCAATAGAAAAGTGGATCCTGTGCAACAAATAACACATACAGGATGCAGTGTGTTTAGGCTTAAGTATCTAGCAAGTTATATCACATTATCAATTTTGTTCTTGGATGTGCTCAGTCATACTGCACAAAATATGATCAAAGAAAAATAAAATGACAAAATTAAACTTGCGGATATGATATACTCCAAATAGCATGATATTAGAACACAGGACAAAACTGCTGGGATATCACAAGCAAAGACTGCAGGAGGTGCAGCAGCTCTTTTTTTTTTTTTGTTTCACTACTTTATCAGTAGCCACACTCAAGCAGTGAATAGGTTCCGTCATAAAGAATGATTTTGAACCACATAGAACTGGTAGTGTAGATAGCGCTCTTACCTTTCAAGATGTGGGAACCTATTTGGAAAAGAGAACAATCTGTAAAACCTGATCTATCTTCATGGTTTTAGACTTGAGTGCTTTCATAAAACCCAAATATTCTTTATAGTCTGCATCAGTAAGCTTCTCTTTAACCTGTAAGGCTCGCAGTTCAAACATATGCTTAGTCAAAAACTGTTCATTGACATCCAAGATAAGGAAAGCATAAGATGGTCAATTTCGCTTTCTTAATTTGAGTGAGAACAATATAGCAGTATTCAGAAATAAGAGTTCCAAAAAGTCAAGTGTAACGTTACTGCCAAACCTACTCGAGGCTACAATGTTCTTCTGCAAAATATGTATTCCATGAGGAACTTTTCAAGATACTTTGTAGGGGTACTTTGTAGGGGTACATCATGGAATACTTAAATTTTTTTAGGATGGAGGTGCCAGAAAAACTCCTTTAAGGTCATTTTTAAAACACACAGAAAATTCATAATACCTAGTTACGGAAAGACTCTCAAGGATAAGAGACTAAAAAATCCTTATTTCCTAGCTGACCTTGCTGAGGTTTTGTCACAAAGTCGATCAACTCATCTCTAAATTCAGTTATTTTAGACAATTGGGCTTGCTTTGATCTGATTAATACATTAATTCATGTTATCTACTGAAGTAATGACCTTTTTCAACCTTTTTCAACCTTTTTCAATTGCATAATTCAATAAAGAGAACACATATATGTAAGAACAAAGAAACATATGTGAAAGGAGGATGGTGCATGGTAGGGACGAGATGGTGCCGACATTAAATTTCAAGGAAGAATTGTTATGTTTAATAGTCAGAATGGAGGTGATGGTAGATACGAAATCTCAAGGAATGCTTCTTACTTGAATTCTAGCTAAAATCATTTGGTGACTAAACAAAACATAATTATTTTTCTCTCATTTGATATATTGATAATGACAAATCTCCTATTACAAGAATACACAGGAACAATTTATATGCTTGGCTTGTCTTCCGTCTCAGTCTTGAAAATTCTCAAACAATTGGTGATCGAGTCTTAATAGAATATAAATCTCTACAGAAAGGAAACACCAAGTGTATTTATTTTTTTAGTCCACATTTTCCAGATCAGAAACAACACAAAAAAAATAATAATAATTTGTAATATGGAGAGTCAAACAACATTGACAAAGACGGAGAAAACCGTCAGTTTTGAGAAGAGAAAAGCTAGAGGTATGAGTGGTATCTTATCCCCTTTTATATTAAATCATCAACATAATTACAGGAGTGCCCTAAGGCATAAAATAAGGATACTGAATATACATAAGAATAAAATAAGAAATATTCTAACACTCTCCCTCAAGTTGAGGCAAAGATATCTCTCACGCCTAACTTGTTAAGAATGTCACGGAATGGTTTATTCCCTAATCCTTTGGCGAGAACATCAGCCAGTTGGTCCCCAGTCCTCACGAATGGCATACATATAGTGCCACTAGTGAGCTTTTCCTTAATAAAATGCCTATCAATCTCCACATACTTGATCCTGTCACGCTGAACCGGATAGTGAGCTATGTTGATGGCTGCCGTATTTTCACAGTATAGCCTCATAGAATCTCTCTGATGAATCCCCAAATCCCTCAAAAATAGTCTAATCCATAATAGCTCACACTCACCTTGAACCATAGCTCTGAATTCAGCCTCTACACTAGACCTCGCAACTACATTTCGTTTCTTGCTTCTCCAAGTAACGAGATTTCTTCCAACAAAGGTACAAGAGCTAGAGGTTAACCTTCTATCAGTGACTGATCCAGCTCAATCAATATTTGTATATGCCTCCACACTAAGTTGACCATGTTTTGAGAACTAGAAACCCTTTTCCCAGAGAAAACTTCAAGTACCTTAGAATCCATATAACTGCCTCTAAGTGAATTGCACGTGGAGCATGCATAAACTGACTAACCATACTCACTACAATAGCAATGTCAGGACACAAATGAAATACGTAGATAAGCTTACCAACTAGCCTCTGGTATCTTTCCCTGTCTACAAGCTCACCTCCTTGATCCTCACTAAGCTTCAGTCCAGGCTCTAATGGTGTATCACAGGCTTTACTTCCAAGCATCCCAATTTCTTTTAGCAAATCAAACACATACTTTCTTTGACATATGAAGATGTCATCTTTGAACCAAGCAACCTCAATGCCTAGAAAGTACTTCAAGTTACCTAAGTCTTTGATTTCAAACTCATTGGCCAAATACTCCTTTAACCGAGGAACCTCCTTAACATCATCCCCTGTGAGTACAATATCATCCACATAAACAATAAGAGCTGTCATCTTACCATGTGAGGAGTATTTCACGAACAAAGTATGACCAGCTTGACTCTGTTTGAAACTATATCGCAACACAACCTGAGTAAACCTCTCAACCAAACCCTAGGAGACTGTTTGAGTCCATAAAGTGACTTCCGTAGTCAGCACACTTTTTCTTTGGTTTTAACACCCTTAAAGCCTGAGAGAATGTCCATGTAAACTTCTTCTTCCAAACCTCCATGGAGGAAAGCATTCTTCACATCAAATTGATGGAGAGGCCAATCGAGATTAAAGACAAGGGAGAGGACTCTGACAGAGTTCATCTTAGCAACAGGTGCAAATGTCTCCTGGTAGTCTACTCCATAAGTCTGTGTAAAGCCCTTGGCCACCAATCTTGCCTTGTAACGTTCAATTGAACCATCGGCTTTGTGCTTCATAGTGTACACCCACTTACATCCAACAGGTCGTTTGCCCTTAGGTAACTCAATCAATTCCCAAGTGCCATTTTTAGCAAAGGCTCTCATCTCCTCCATCATGGCATGCTTCTACTCAGGAGTAGAAAGAGCATCCTGAAAATTAGAAGGAAGACTCACAGAAGAAACTTTAGACAGAAAATCTTTATAGAAAGAAGACAGATTAGTGTAGGAGACAACATGAGAAATAGGATGTTGAGTACAAGACTTAACCCCCTTCCTTTTAGCAATGGGGGGCCATTTCCCAATATAAGCCATTTTTGTGCGATTTTACTGTTCACCTACTTTTACGCTCCTAACAGTGAAAGCGCGAATAGTAATAGCGTTTTAACCTAGTTTTGGAATTCCGTCAGAAGTTGGCCTAGTTTTGGAAATACGATACAAAAATGGCTTATATTGGGAAATGGCCCTAGCAATGGGAACATCTAGATCAGAAAGAATAGAGTTATCAGGAGTTTCATTAGAAGAAGAGGATTCTAAACACTCATTAGAAGGAGAAGATAGCAGTGGAGAATCTGAATTGGTCTCTTGTACCCAAGTAACTTTTATTCTATCCTTATCCCTCACATAAACTTTGACGTCTTTCATTGCGGATTCAGACTCAACATCTTTCACAGCGGATTCAAACTCAACATTCTCAATAACTGGGTCACCATTAACATTCTCAACCTGCTCAATCACTGATGGTAGTGATACAGAAATCGCTTCACACCAAGGCTCCCCCCTGAAAGGATGACTGGGACACCGGAAAGGACAAGAAATAGGATTAAGACTCAAAGAAAGACACATCCATATAGACAAACCATTTCCGAGAGGGTGGATGATAACACTTGTAGCCTTTTTGTGTGACCCTTTTGTGTGGCAGAGTAACCCAGGAAGACACACCGAAGAGACCTAGGATCCAACCTACCACGGGTAAGAGAATCGTTATGAACAAATCACACACCCAAAGGTTTTGGGAGGAATGGAGAAACCAGAAGAGTAGGACGCTAACAAAACCTGAAGAGGAGTGTGTTTGTAGAGAACTTAGTAGGCAGACGATTGATGAGGAAGGCTGCAGTGAGAACAGCTTCCCCCTAATATGATCTAGGAACACGCATTTCAAAGGATAAACAACGCGCAATATCAAGAAGAGGCGGTTTTTATGCTCTACAACACCATTTTGTTGAGGGGTACTGGTACAAAAAGTTTGGTGAATAATACCATGAGTGGCAAAATAGCTAGCAAGGCCAGAGTCAATGTATTCCCCCCCCCCCCCCCCCTCCCCCCAATTATCAGAACGCAAAATTTTGACAACCACCCCAAACTGAGTGCAAATCATTTTATGAAAATTTTGAAACATAGAAAAAAACCTCACATTTGTCCTTCATAAGATACACCCAAGTGATCCTAGAAAAAAACCTCACATTTGTCCTTCATAAGATACACCCAAGTGATCCTAGAACAATCATCAATAAAGGTGACAAACCATCGTTGACCCTTTAAAAACACAAAACGAGAGGGACCCCATACATCAAAATAAATCAATGAAAAAGAAATTAAACTTTTATTAATAGAAGGAGCAAAAGAAACTGTGTGTTGTTTTCCAAGTTGACATCACTCACAGTGAAACTCAGAAACATTATTTTTCAAAAAAACTGAAGGAAATGGATGCTTAAGTAACAAAAAAAATAGATGCCCAAGACGACGGTGCCACAGCCATAGGTCTTCCTTGGTAGATAGTAACTGAATGAATGAATGAGCCAGCTTGTCTGTTTGATCTAGGATATAGAGGCCATTCTCGTTTCTACCACTACCAATCGTCTTCCTCGTGACAAGGTCCTGAAACAAACAATGATTACGAAAAAAGGTCACACTACAATTTAAGTCCTGAGTAATACGACTTAAAGATAAAAGATTAACACTAAAATTGGAAACATGTAGAACAGAAGACAAAAGAAGTGAAACAGTGGCATGAATTAAACATTTCCCAGACATAGAAGAAATAGTACCATCAACAATTCAAACTTTATCCTGTTTTAAAGAAGGGTTATATATAGAGAACAAATCAGAAGACCCAGACATATGGTCGAAAGCACCAAAATCGATAATCCACGGTAACGTTTGATGAGATAGGAAAGTACTTGTAGGAAAAGCTAAGTTACCTGAATGGGCAAAATTACTTGAAGATGAACTAGATGCCCAACGGTTTAGCAAGTGGCGAAGAGCAATCTCCAAATCAGAAGTAGAAAAACCAGAGATATCAGTAAATGAAACAACCAGAGCGGGGGACTGTGGCTCAACTGTAACAAAATGATGGGCTCGGGCATTGGGCCATCGGTCTCTAGACTGACAAAAGCGACCCCCTCGAGAACCACAACAATCTCCACGACCCCCAGATGGCAGCCCATGCAACTTTCAACAAGTCTCACGGGTGTGGCGAGGGTGACGACAATAGTTACATAAGAGGGTATCCTTCTCAAAAACCAAGACAGATCGATCAGAAGAGGCAGGCGAAAGCATAACAGAACGACGACTCTCCTCATTTTGCACATAAGCAAATGCTTCTTGGAGAGAAGGAAGCATATCCATACCAAGCACACGACTCCTAACAGGATCAAACTCTACATTCAGACTTTCTAAAAACTTGAAAAACCCGCACTTGTTCAACAAATTTCCGGTACCCCGCAAAATTAAGGGGATAGGCAGGCTTGTAGTCCTGAAGATGATCAAGTCTCTTCCACCCATTGCTAAGGAAAGTAAAATACTGAAAGGATAGTTATCTCAGCCTGGACGGACCGGTCAATGAAACGTCGCAACTCAAAAGTCTATGAACAATTGCCTTTGTGGGAATACGTAGTGGCCATAACCACCAAAATATCCTGTGATGTATCCATAGATAAGTATCCCTCACCAATCTCCGGAACCATGGAATGTATCAACCAACCCATGATTAAAGAATTGGTAATCTCCCACTGATCATAACCAGGATCCGTGGTACTGGGGGCCTGAACATGCCCCCATCAACATATCCTAGCTTCCCTTTGCTCTTCAAAAAAATAGTCAAACTCTACAACCACGCTAGATAATTCTATCTATCAAAGAGAGAGGTGGTAATTTTTTGGCCAGGGTTGAGGGAATCAATCACAATAGGAGGCAAAACAGGACTCGCACCCTGAGAAGCAAGTTGCGAAGTAGTAGACTCATTAGTCAATTCCGTCATGAATACTCCACTAAGGAACCCGCACAACAAACACTGGTCTAATCACAAATTCGGAAGATGGAAAAACATAACAAACAAAACAAAAAGAATTTAAGAGAACATAGTTTTTTTTTTTTTTTTTTTTTTTTGAGAAGAGACAAAAAACAGAGAGAAGAGAATTACATGAATAGAAAGACTAAGAATTACATAAATAGAAAACAAAACCAATGGTCACAGATTGATGACGTCAATGCAACCCAGACCCAAGAGAGAGACCCGACTGAACCAGAGCTCCTGAGAGGCTATTGGCAGCCTGAGGAGGGAGGAAAAAACACCCCCGACTGAACCTCCAAGCCTGCCGATAGACCTAGGCTAGGAAAAGTAAGGCTCTGAAGAGCCCTAGGGTGCTGTCGAAGCCCTAGGAGGTTGCGGCTAGGGCTGCCGAAGCCCTAAGAGGGTGCAGCTAAGACTATCGGAGCCCTAAGAGGCTACGACTGGTGCTGGCAGATCCCTAGGGGGATTGCGGCTGGTGTGGTGGGGACTGCAGCTGGTGTGGTGGTGCGGTGGTGGTGTGATGGTTGCCGTAAGGTTGTGGTTGCTAGGGTTTTTAGAGTGGCTCTAATACCATGTCAATTTTGAGAAGAGAAGGTATGAGTGGTATCTCATCCCCTTTTATATTAGATCATCGCCATAATTATAGGAGTGCCCTAAGGCATAAAATAAAGATACTGAATATACATAAGAATAAAATAGGAAATATTCTAACACATTCTAACAAAAACATAGTCTGATTTGCATATCAGCTCTCAAAATATTATTGTCAGATAGTTTTTACTAGACGACTATTGGCACCACCCAATCATCTACAATGTGATAAATCATGGTTGTCCCAGTATGATAAAAAGTAACCAAGAGATTAAATGGGTGGATTTGATGTAAGGCACAAATCTTAATGTTGACCATATGAATCTAGTTTGAATTTAACCTGGATCAGAAAAGCATTTCCTCTTCTTTCTTCATCACCACAAGGTGAAGGACTAGACAGAACCACCTTGCTTTTCTGACTAAACATTTCTGTTTTTCTTTGTGCAATCATCTCATCTCCAAGCAGCACTGCTAAACCAACTTCAGCATTTTGGAAGCTTCCATAATCACTGACCTGCAATTTCTCGTGTTTCATCAAATTGTTTATGGTAGAAGTGGTGTTCAGTTGTGCTTCCCTGACAATCGATGAAGGTTCGTGAGAATTCTCAATATGTTGTGTTAGAACAGGCTCCAATTTAGGCTTCTTCAAAGAACATAATGCAATCAGTCCTCCCCTTGTTTCTTCATCCACTGAGGAATTACTGGTCAAATCTTGTACACAGTTTATTTGATGTATGCTTTTCCTCCCAGGAATCAATAACTTTTCTGATTGCTGAACAGATCACCTGAATGTTTCAACATAAAACTCGGCTTTTGCTGACGGAATCAGAGATGAACGATTGGCAGGAAGAATTCCTCCCCATTGGCTAGATATGTCTTCAACCTCAGATATAGAAGATGAAAACTTATTACAGCAATTTGAATCCATTGGCATAGTCTGCATACAAATCCGCCAGCAAGAAAGAGGAAACAGTGAAAATAGACAAACGCCACGGATAACTTTTTCTACAGTGGAGTATGAGTTATCACTCAGAAATAATCAAAGAAATACCAGTGGAGCAACTAAGTTTTCCAAGTGAAGTTTGTCAAAGGGCCGTGCAGTTTCCAATCTACTCACATTTCCTGCGACAGGACATAAGCAAACCATTATCATAGCATATTCAACCAACTTTTTAAATTGCACAAACCAAGAAATATGTGCAAGACTCACCCTTGAAATAGAAATGGGAGGACCGTTGGGTTCGGTCTCCAAAATCATTCAGATAATTTTAGCAAACATAGCCTTTAGGTCAAAAGACAAGCATACAGACATTACAAACTTTAAGATGCCAAAATAAGTTCTTTCAAGATCTCAACAAACAGAAAATAATGAAACAATTTGGTTTCCCCATTACCCAAGTGGTATAAATAGTATTGGAGTCATTTTCCAGGGCGTTTATTCCTTTATTAGGTTAAGTAAAATTCTTATCAGAACTGGATTCAAGGAGGTGATCAATTTGCTGCTCTTCTCTAAATTATTTCAATCAGTATTAGGAAAGTACAAGCCGGTGTAAGAATCTGCTATAGAACTGTGACTCAAGGAGCTGAAGCACTTTTAAATGTGTATTTTCTTCATATAAAAAGAAGTAATCTAAATTTGATATTTGGAAAACTACAAGATGTTGTGTATGTTGGTTTTTGTACGCTTCTCCTTTTCGTTTTTGTAGATTTTGTGGAGGATTTGATTAGTTAGTTCTGTTTAGTCCTTTTGTGGGCTACATTTTTGTATTCTTTGCATCGTCTTGATGCTTTTTAATAAAGTTGTGTTTACAGCTTTACATCTCCATTCATATATCATTAGTAATATAGCTCTTAATGAGATTATCTTCTGCAAACCAAACTTCTTTATCACCCCATACCCTTTGGCTTTTGATGATAAGCTTGATAATCAACAACCATAACCAAGCAAATAAAAACTTGGGCTCAGAAAGCTCAAAATACTAAAAATGAAAATCCAAACAGCTTTACTGGATTTAAGCCACTGCACTGCAATCAGGAAAAGGCCACCAATTGCAATTGACCCTCTACTTGCCAATACTTCTATTGCAACTAGCTTGGAGTAAATTTCTTAATTACTTTAATGGCCAAAAAGATGAGACAGTAAATTTTCCTTTAACAAAAGCTAGGGAACCAACACATTTCTTGGAACAAATCGATGCATATGATCCACAAAGATCGATGATTTTAATAAATTCCTAGGGTCTACTTAAACACTTGCACATAAATGTCATGAACGTAGAACATAGAAATGTACTGTAAAAAATGTGAAACTAGTATCCTTTAGCTAAAAGATACTAACCATGGTCTTCACTCTGTGTTAGTTCCAGCTTTGCAGGACCGCAAATTGCTCCATCTCGGAAAAAACATGTCAATGTGAAAACTACATCCCCGAATTTGGAGTAACACTGCATGGGTAACAGTGTGTAAGTGTGAGTTTTTCAAACCATAAATCTCAATACAACCCCCACAAAATGCACCTTGATATGAGGCTGTATCCAAAGTGATATCTGGGACTGGCGACTTGAATGTACAAACCTGTTCACAACACAGGAGGTAACAGAAAAAAACTAGATTAGTTTAATGAAGAACTCTGGAATCTAACAGGATTAATAGACAGGTAAAAAGAAAGGACAAACCTGTTTACAACACAGGAGGTGACAGAAAAAAACTAGATTAGTTTAATGAAGAACTCTGGAATCTAACAGGATTAATAGACAGGTAAAAAGAAAGGACAAAATTTTCATGTTCACCAAACTGAAAACATTACTAGCAATTCAATAAGAGCAATGACAAAAATCATAGGACTAGCACCCTCTCATACAAAAGCAAAGCATACAAATGATCAGACATCTTCCTGACATATAGAAAATATAACAAAAACTTGAATTAAAATGTAAAAGAATTGATGACTTTGCAGATCTATTGCACCTGGTTTCACATTTTAGAAGGAACCACTGAGAACATGCAGGATGTAATATACAATTGTGACAACAAATGGCTACATTTCAATGCAATTTCCAGTTTTTTGCAAAAAAATAACTACAACCTTTCATCACAAAAAATAATTGCACCATAGTCATGGCGATGACGAATGACACGCCCAACAGCCTGATTCACAGCCCGCAATGCTTCTTGACTGTACCACTCTTCTCCAGTCAGAACCTGCAATTTCGATGTGTATAAGTACGCTTTTTTATAAAAAAAATGAGATTAAAAAAACTAAAAGTAGTTTATCTATAGACGAGAAAAATTACTAAAGAGTAAAGTTCTATGTCATGTTTGGTGGTAACAAGACGCTCTTCTCCTTTACTCTTCTTTTTTGCTCTCTGTGTCCAGATTTGGACACTCGTGTCCAGATTTGGTGGACACGCGTGTCTCCGCCGTGTCTCCACCGTGTCCCCTGCAAAAAAAATAATTAAATTAAAGGGACACGCCACCCGGCGTGTCCCGTACGTGTCCCCAGCGTGTCCCCGGCGTGTCCCCGTGTCAGACACTGCCACGGCATGAAATCTGCCGTGTCCATGCTTCATAGGTGGTAACAAGACTACCTTACACCCCATTTGTTGTGACTGCGTGTGTTGATCCAAGTACTCTCGCTTTAAACGAACCTGTCACGCATCACATAAAAAATACAAGGGCCTTGTTTGGTTTGTATTTGAGAAACATGTTTTGAGATAAAAAGTACGAAAATTTGTTTGGTTTGGTTTTTTTTCAAAAGATGTTTTGAAAAATTATTTTGAGAGAGTTTTGGAAAAAGTGATTGATTTGATGTGTATGAGAGAGAGATTTGTTTGGAAAATTTGTAAACCAAACAAGTTTTGGAAAAACAAATTGGAAAAATTTGTTTGGTTTGATTACTTTTGAAAACTTATTTGTAGAGAATTTTTCCCAAAATTTTTTGAGAACCACAAACCAAACAAGGCCAAGATTTATTTAACAAAAAGGTGACCTGACGAAAAAAAAACTAAGCACATGAATTAAAAATGTAATATGGTTAGAGTGAACAAAAGAACAGAAGGGGTTTTCTAGGAAAGCATCCCAAAAGATGAACAATCTAGACAGCCATATTTGCATGTCTGTGCTCTGTTCCATAGCAAAGTTAACCTGAAGAAAATACATGGATATAACAGTTATGATATGACAAATTATAGCAGGGGAGGTGGACTGAATAGAGAAACCCTCAAACCAAGCCCTGGCACAGAGATAACCAAGGCCCTGGCACAGAGAAAGCATCATATACTTATATTCTCAAACATTGTCAATTCAGCTTAAAGGAACTGCAACTCAAAAAGTTGGGTATGGTTCCACAATGGCATGTCAGGGTGCCTTGCAAGATAACACTAGATTCCAAAGTTTGTTTTACTAATGCCAATTGCCAAATATATCTCGAAAAGTTGATACAATTAAAACTCACATCATGGACAACAATAACCAAGAGAAAACAGACAAGAAGATTATCAAACCTTTGGATCAGTCCTCATGGCAAACGGCATACCAGTGATCACCACAGCTCTCCCAGCATGGTCTGCAAAATCTAAACCTTCACTTACCTAATAAAACAAAGGCAATTAAGCATGGTACAAAAAATGGGACTTTGGAAAGATTGTCTACTGCAGACATGAGAAGTAGCAACAAACTTCGGTCTTCACAAGTATCATCATTAAAAGGGTAGCACCCAAAAAAAAAAAACTTTGGTTACTACATTCCAGTACTATTTAACTAGCATTTCAGAAATGTGACTTTTTTTTTTTTTTTAAGATTCCAAACTTGTAATCAATTACCAATATATACATCCCTACCATGTGTGACATCAATGGAAATGCAACATTTGACGCTGAGGAAACATTTCTTTAACGACTACTTAAATTCATTTTGGCACCACAAAATACAAGAACAGTGGTATCTCAGATTTACACATGCCATCATTTCTTACTGCTGAAACTTACTACTGGTAAGTTGGTAATTCATGCAGCATCGACGACATATATTTGGGTATACTGGAAGTTGAGGAATACAAGAAGATCAATTTAACAGAAAGAAACCCAAGTTATGGTGCCTATGTACAACAATACAAGACATAACTACTATTAGTATCTATTTTCAAACTGTTCCGAGCATGTTCAGTTGACCTTAGGTAAACATTATGTGAGAGACGTGCATGAAAAGGGTCACATTGTGCAATCAGCACCTACAATGTTTGAGGTTATCTACTTAGCTGGGGAGCTGTCATCAACATGAGTCCTCATTGCAAGAGACATGTATAGGAAGCAGACTAGCCAATTTATAATTCAAGACATGATAAATGAGATGAGAGTCATTTACACAGCTTCAAGGACAGCACACATAATTATGCCCAACAATGGGATCCACGAAACAAATTCAAAATTCCACGTTGTACTATGAACATATTGAGCACCTTCCCTGCAACTGTCCAGTTTCCTAACATTTGAATCACAAATTGATTCATGATGGTAAGAATTTGAATTCATATTAAAATCCAGAAATCAATACAACAAAAACATAAGGAAACTATGGAAACATTGCAGTTTTAAATCCAATAATTTGATCTATTCAAGTTGATTAGCGTTGGGATGTGTCCTATATCGCCTGGAGTTGCCCCATCTATGCTGGTTATAACATTCAAATTTCTCTCTCCTTAATACCTAGGTTTTAAGGAGAAGTGTGGACTGGACTTCTCAATTTGGTATCAAAGCTTGATTGGGCTTGTGATTGG